TGATTCAGAAATCAATGATGACTTTCAGTAAATTATAAGAGCAATTAAATCTTTCTAATCGATTTTTCTGAATAATTTTTATTTCTTGAATTGGAAAATAAATAATAAAAGAAATGCACTTAAGAGAACCATTTAACGCATCACTTGTGCTGCTACGGCTGCATTAGCTTTAGATCTTATAAAATGCAATAATGTACGACTTGAAGAAATGTAAAAATTTTTTATTAAGACTAAATCTTCACTTACTCTATACGTAGTTGGTGAGCTTATAAAATTGATTTAAATTGCCAAAGAAACAAAGAAAATATTGGAAAATTTTTTGTACGCTGCATGTGTCATAACCTTGCTCTGGGTAATTGCTTTTCAGACCCAATCGAAAGCGATTGCGAAATAACTGAGCCTACATTTTGCGCCTACAAATACATACATAATACATACGCACGCATGAAGGCAATCTGGTTAAGTGTCTGGCTGCGTTGTGAATAAAATAAAAAACCGTTATTCCCATAATGGATACTATTGGTGTTTTAAATGACTGCCAGCCACTGTGCTGTACACATATTCCTTTATATTCCTTGTACTTATATGTAAGGGTTTGGGTTTTTTTTTTTTTTTCTTTTTTTTGGTATTTGTATGGCATTCTGGGAAAACGGCTTTTTACAATAATCGATGACGTGCATTTAATTGAATATGTTTAAGTGCTCTCTGAGGAGGAAAGGTGGAAAAAGTGGAAAGGCAAAAAAAAAAAAAAAACATAAAATACCGAATGACCTATTCGTTCGTGTATGTGTGCGTAAGAGTTGTGTGTTGAATATTCAGCATAAAGAAAAAAGGATTAAAAGTTAGGTGATGCATAAACCTATGTTTGCCTGCGGTTTACCATGCGGTACCTTTACTGACAACAAGTGCAATGAAATCAAATATATATATATATATATATATACATACATATACATATATGCAACTATGTATGTTTATATGTATGTGCGTGTATATGGATTTATTGTATAGACAGATACGAGTGTTTGCCCACAACTATCTATGTATGCATATATTTGCGATTTTACATTGCTTTGAAAGCTCACACTTTAGACTTTTGCAACGCACACACACATAAGCTTACATCTATGCAGGTAACCAAAGCAAATATGTGCAAAAATAAATATACGAGCTGCCATTATTCACGCACACACACACATACACACACACACAAATACATAAAAGCGTATCACAGGCACATCATGTATATATATACATACATGCATACATACATACATGCATACATACATACATACATACGTATATATACATTATAAGTAAAATAGTTACATAGTCTGTACACATTCGTAAATGGTTCATTAGTAACGGGAAAATGCAAACATCTACACATATATTGCATAAGCTTACCTTTCTCGTACGGTATGCATAAGCAAAAGTTAAAAAGTATCTCCTGAATTCATAGGTTTCACAACGGCATTGAATAAGAATTTCAACGCTTGCCAACAACTTGAGTGTATGTGTATGCGGTTTTGTTTGTATTTGGTTTTATGCTTCTATAAATTGTGTAAAATAAGTTTATGTTAGAGTTTATGTTGTTTGCTTGTGTTTACAATCGTTTCAAATTGTTTTTACAATAACTATACGTGTGCTGGTGCACAAGCACTCTTGTCTCAGTGCACGCGTACGGTTGCTTGTAATGCTTGTAGTTTCTTTGCATCTGATGTGGTTGCTCACTTTGTTCTTTTTGAGTTCTCATTGCCTTTACTCTGGCTGGGGTTTTTCTTCTTTTTTTTTTTTTTATTATTTTTCGTTCTTTCCTACGTAAATAAATAATGTGAATGAGTCCTGTTAGACAGTTTGCCAATGAATCATGAAGAGTTCGTTATCAATTTTAAGAAAAATTACGTTAAAGTGAAACTACACTTTTATTTATTTTTTTCGTGATTCTGTTGTTGCTGTCACTGTCTTGTTGTCATTTCATTTCTATGAACTGATGTGATTCGGTCCTTCTTAATTATATCTGTCTTAAGTTTGAATATTCGCAAAGAACATTCAAAAGTTCGCAAATTCTTCGCAATTCTTAACTGATTTTCAAAGTATAATTTTTACATAGCTGGGTGTCCAAGATTCGACCTAAAGTGAATATAAATGCATTATCAGTGTTTTTTGCTATCTCGAGCCATTTATTTGTGAAGATATAAAAAGAAAAGTTTTTTCCTTAAGTATTTGAAAAGCATTTAATAGTTTGAATATATGTCAGCCAAACCAAATGTTTTTCTTGAGGAGGAATATGCAATTTTCAAAGAAAATATGCAATTTCGCATAAGTTCTTGTATCAAATAATTGATATTTTCACTTGACATAACCGCAAAAGAATGGTTACTAATCAGCCCAAGTATAGGATGTCTTCGTTATGCTCGTAAATGAGTTAAAGATTGAAAAACGCAAAAAAAAAGGAAAAAAGAAGAAGAAGAGTTGAATATATTATATCAAGTTCAGTTAGAACTACATAACTACATTGTATTGATTTAGGTGGAAATATATTCTGAATAATTTATAAGAACGAGCGCACAGCAACAAAGGAGGACACTATTTATCCTTTAAGAATTTTTCTTATAATTTTTACAGTTTTTTTGTGAGCATAATTGTCTATCAAATGCAATCACATAGATTTATAATGCTATGGGATATACAACCGACCAATCGAGTAGCTCGGTCCTCACTCTATCAAATCAAATCGAGTTCCTTATATAAGCTAGTGGAAGGCATATATGAACTATTCAGCTTAAACTGAATATAAATTCTTGGGGCGTTCTTTAATAAGTCCGTTTTATTTACTCCTACAGGCCACACTTTTCCATTCATGCCGGCAGATCATCAAATTTGTTCTGTTTTTCTCACGTCTCGTCCGATTTCTTATTAATATCGCAATAGCTTTTAACTTGCTTGCGTGCCACTCGATATTCTCGCGCGTCCATGTAATCTAATCAATATTTCTCTATAATTAAAATGACTGCCTTCATGAAGCGATCAGACTATCTTTTCTTTAATAAGCCTCTTCATCAATGGGCATCAAGTCAAAAGGACCTGAGTTCATTAAGGCGTTTTAATAATAGTTAATCAAAGTTCTTATGCCCCAAGCCCTTCTGCCATAGTCAAATGAAAGAGTCTCTGGGTACAGCTGGATTTTTTTCTCAACTTGCTGTTGATTGATATAAAAACTTATTCTAAATATTCTTTTTTCTATAATTTTTAATAATCAATTGGTTTTTCCATGAATTTTAAATATTGCACTTATGCTTTTGTGGTTTGCAGTGTGTGTCCTCTTATGGGGAAAAATAATAAAATCGAATCAATTGAGTGTGAAAAAAATGCATATTATTCTGCTTAATGGATTACAAGGGTTAAACGACGCGTTGTTGTTTGTAAGCGATGATGAGAGCAGGCGCTGCTTAAAGATATGATCTCTTCAATCTGAATTCTAAAGTAAATAAACACAATATTAATAAAAAAAAACGATTTTTCTCGCACTAATGCGAAAACCATAAATATTTTCACGAGTAAATTATAATTTTATTTAAAGTGAATAAATTTTGCGGTCAAATGGAAAGGATTATTGTATAGTTTGTGATTTTAACGCAAAAATAAAACGCAACATATGCAAAGTGGGGCGAGGCGGGGCGAAGATACTTTAGAGTTTCACTCTGACGAAATTCTTGATGGATTGCGACCAATAGAAGACAATGGAAGACGATTTTAATAGTGAATGCAAATCGGTGAAAATTAGTTCACGGTTGTATAAAACAAATAACTGAATAATAGAAACATTACTTGATAATGGTATCAATGTAAAGATATAAGAGCATAGTTGTCCTAACAGCTTTTAAATGCAAAGCAGGAATCGTTCTCCCCTTCCTAGAGGAAGATCTTTAGATCAATGAAGTGATATGAAAAAGGATATATAAAGAGAGTAATTGATTCTTGCAATTTAAGAATCTTTGAATAAATTATATAAGTACTTCCCGCTCGTTTTCAGGGTCCAAAGTTCAATCCTTCGATATCATTAAAAATTTCGTATTTTACTCTTATTTTATAGACTTTGCGTCGGTTAAATTCAACCACGGCCTTAGAGCCCTCTTGCTGACGGGTAGAATAATATTCAAGTTTTCCAATATTGCTACAATTATCACACTTTATTATCACATATTATATAGGTTTGACGATCAGTCTTCGGTAAGCTGCTAATAATTTAAGATTTTCAGGAATTCTTGCCATTTAAAGGACTCAACACTTCTATCTATCGAGCGTACAGATTTTTGATCATTATAGATTTATTCTTATCTCAAAATAGATTTAAATTTTATGTAGAGAGCCATCGAAAACTTCAGTGTTCAAAGTCATGCGGATCGAGCAGCTAGCACGCATTCACTTAATAAAATGCTTTTCAATTTTCTATTTAATCACTTCGCTTAAATTAGAAATCTGTTTTATGTGCAACAACTCTTCTCTATGCTTGCTAAATAAAAGGGATGAAGAGATGTTCGTCCCGCGCAAGGGTCAAATTGACTGACTGCAACAAGAGTTTATTTTAAGCATAAGTTGCGCTCATATGTAACTCTCCAAATTTTTCAAACCGCAAGAAGAGAATATTTTTTTTATTTAAGGATTTTACTAAAGTTGTCCGCTTGGACGTTTAATTTTTTATTTATAATATAATAAAAACTTATATTTTTTATATATATTGCAAAGTTACTTAAATATTTAAATAAACACGTATTCGTGAAGTAAGATAGAGCTAAAGCCCTATTACCGGGTTGCGGTCGAAATCTGCAATGCCTGCTACTTCTTCTGTCGTTCTTTTGTTTTTTCACTTCTCCTACATGGAGTAATCGGTGGTTGATGGGTTACTTCTGATAAAGTCTTTTTCATTTATTCGATATTTGGATGGAAATTAGTTTACGTTGATGGTTGGACTTGTATAAATATGATGAGTTAACCCGAGTTCTCAATTTCATGTAATTTTTATAAAGTCAAATAACTCTTACTGTAGGAGACAATTTTCGTTATACCCATCTTTATCCATACCTAAGTAAGTGAAGACATATCGAAAGGTTACGAATGCTATGATAAACGCAGAGTATGATAAAGAAAACGAAAAGCCAAATAAATAAAAAATTCGAATAATAATAACAAACACAACTCAAGCATATAAAAACATTTTTTCCAAATATTTACGAAAAACATACGCACGCACACATATGTGCAAATATTTATACAAATCTTTCTAAACATTATTTTAAGGATAAGTTTGCGAAGGAGTAGGAGGAGACCGAAGGCATACAGAGCTGCTTTCAATTTTTATTTCACATAATTCTTTTTGATTATAAACAAAAGGAAAAATCAACTATTGTAACAGTACTGATGCACATACATCCTCATACTCATTCATGCACAAACACACACGATTACTCCCATCCATACTTCTATGCTTTCATATGGATATGAAAACTTTCTTACTATATATGACTTTTGTTGAATTTCTTTCTTGAAATGGTTTTTTATTTGGTCAATCGAACTCGTTTATTATGTTTGTTTTAATGTTTTACCAATTTTTGTGTGTGGAATATTGCACGAATAGAACGATATACATGTGAACGTTCTTGTGAAGTTTGGTATGTGCACAGCTATACGAAAGAAGGCAGAAGGCAGAAGGCAGAAGGCTCGAAAATGGTAATCGAAGAAAGATAAACATAAAGTGAAAAAAATCGTACTTTTGCCTTGGGTTGAATTTTAGAATTCCAACAGACCTTACAGACGACCTTACACATTTGTTTATCTGTTTATTTATATATACCGTTCGCTCCGTTCCTATGCAATATAAAATCTGGACGGAAAATTCTATAATAGATCCGATGAAGATAGCGTGCAATATATATATCAAAATATATCTTCAAAATATTAATCGTTTGAATATTCCTTCCATGGATTTAACTCGTAGGCCCATAGACGGGCATTTGGGAGTAAAGGAAGTAACCTTCAGTCATCAGACTCAGTATCGGCGAAATCTTCGATTAACTTTGGGAATTATGAGTAAAAGCGGTATATTGGTGGTTCAGAGTTTCGAAGTGAAGCTGAGAGATAGTTGAAAGACTTCTTTGCCCAAATTTGCTTGTTTCCAATAGTAAACGTAAGCAAAATTATATACATTTTCGAACCGATTTTCCGTAAGGTCTCATGTGAGAAAATTTCTACTCACCCCGGTATTAAAACCAGATGCATCGAACCTTTCGTTCTGCCATAATTTCTTTGCAATTGTGGGCAGGTTTGCGAGTGGGTGTATTTTGAAATCTGATTACTGAGGCTGTTATTATACAAATTGCCTGCAACAAGTGGAAAGTTTTCGGATATATGCGCTGCATGTTGACCAACTTTTTGTGCACCACCTGTGCTCTATCGAGCATGGACGAAAGACAGGAAAACATGTTTGCTAAATGTATCTTAACTACATTCAGATTTTAAGGCGTTAGGATAATAATTTTAGCTATGGATAAGTTGATCACGATAGAACGGATAGAAGAGTAAGAAGTAAAGTGTATACCCAACCAAGCCTTCTCTCTACTCTCTGGGGTATATTTTTAACTCTTTTAAATGGAGCGAATAGAGAAAAGTTGATTCGCCTAAGTTATTCGACGATCTTTGAAAGTTAGAACGATAAACATAAATGCTTTTTATACTCGTAGAATTTAATTTGAAATGATAAACGTTTTAAATATGACAAATTTCCTCTCTCTCTTTAGCTTATTAAAGAAGTTGCGATAAGTCAAAATATGAAATAAAATTTTTCTTTACTTTTGACGTGAATCGACGGATGTAACATTGCAACAATGTAGGGGATATTGTAATCAATTTTTATGAGGATTCTCTCAATTTGCGTTTAAACTTTTCCTACATTTTTAGCACATTCAAGCGTACAAGCGTTTGCATTTACATTTTGCTATAGCTTCAAAACATATAAAATTCCAAAAAATTGAAAGAAGTTGTAATCAAAGTTATATTGTGCTTAGCTTGAAATACCTGATATATCCTTTTTCCACTTTGTCATGGGTACAGCACGTAACTAAAATAGAAATAAAAATAATGCATTCTTATTGCAATTTAAAATTTCGTTATTGTTTAACTTTTTAGACAAACTAGTTTGGCTTTGTTTTACTTAACAACTTTTGTACACGTATGAGGTATTTAAGCATTCACATCCGCTGCCAATAAGGCAGAAGCAATTCTACGAAACTTCTGGTGGGCATCGATTCGCTTTCAATTAAAAAAGATCATCATCCTCGACCTGCCAACTAAGCCTCGATATCGACACAAACGGAAGCTCTTTGAAATTAATTTAACATCAAAAGGAATTGACTATGCGTTGCGTACTATACGCCGGTGCAACTGAGTCATATTTTTCTTAACATCGCGCGTTACACTGTGGCAGGTAGTCTTCATATGATTTGGATAAATTCTATCTTCTACTGCTAAACGAGGGAACGCAACTTGCTGCGGCGATATCGAAGAAATAGACCCATTAATAGACCCATTAATTTGACTAAATGACGCCCTTTACGAAGAACCTAAAATGTGTATTCACTCCTTTTTATGGTATTGGAGGCGTCCTATTTATGCTATTGGCTGCTTTGTCCATTTCACTTGAACGGAAAGTCATATCGTTCTTCGAGGCAAAGTTTCGATTGATTGAATGTATTCAACTGACACGCACGCACCCCCTGATTCGATTTCGCTACTCATGTCTATGTCCGGAGTACACATTTATCTGAGGTGCGTTTCAATGCGATGCCACCATTTCACAAATTGTACATACCATCTGTCTTGAATGTAAATTTTATAAACATGATTGAGTTTAAGTTTTCCTCTAGAATGTTAAAATTTTACCTTATCTTAAGTTTAAGAGTAAGACGTTTAAGCTACACTACGGCGTCCAAACACGTTAGCTAGGGTTATGCCAACGTCGACTCGGTATATACATTTTAAAGTATTGAAGATTGATAACACATACGCCTATATAAGCATATAGAATTTGAGTACAGAATTCGTGGAAGTGATTTTACTCTTCGGATGATGTAAGATGAATAGATCCGTTAGGTCCTTTCTGCATGAAATTCATTTTGCAAGGCGATGAGTTCATTGCTGCCAAAGATGATTCTGCCTCGTTAGGATTGTCTTAATCGTGTCTTCGGTTATCTGTGAAATAATCCTTGATCCCGAAGGCGACTTAACGAAAGCAGTATCAGTACTGTCGCTTGTCAATTCATCCACTTCTAGATTTAATATTATCGTGTTCCTCCTCAAATGTATCAGTGAGATCATCATCATGTATAACATCAGTTGTGGTTGCACACTGTCTTTGGGAAAAGCTGCGATAACCTCAGCGTTAAAAGACAGTGCTCCGTAGTGATTACATTTTGAAACCTGAATAGATTTCAAATTGCAATGAAATAGCAATCGCTTGGCACGATTAAGTTGCAGATGATCATTTCGCGCTAAAAACTTCAACTTCATTGATACGTTCAGATTTGATGGCCATAACGTGCTTATAAATGTTTAATTCGCGCATGATTCGTGTTACAGACGATTGCTGCGATTCTTTTCAAACATTTGTAGCAGACACATCGTATTGTTGTTAGGAAGTTAAGCGACTTGCTTTGAACAATGATTATTTTGCGCAGACTGTGCTGTGATTCGTTTGGTTACATATTTTCTCTGCTGTTGACTTACTTTCCCTATGGCTTGCTTAATTTCCTAATTGCGTTCAGCAAAATTTTGTTAATAACTCTCCCTCTCTCTCTTTCGGAGACGTTTCTCATTCGCTTTGCGAGTAAATAAGATAAATAAAATAATTAACTAAAAAAGGAAAATTTCCCTATACGAAGCCACTTGAAAATTTTTGTTTATAGTGCCGTTGGGTTTGATTATTTTCTCCTTTCCTGCTCGTCTAAGTGAAAAAGTAGAAAAATTTATTAGCACAAGTTATCTCCTCTTTCAGCAAACCGAAACGATTTAAGCAAACAAACAGCTAAAGTTATTTATGAACTTGACAGAGAAAATTGCTATGTCTTCACGTATTAACAACAACCGCAAAGCTATGTATGTATATAGTAACAAAATAACTGTTAAATACATATATATTTATGTGTGCATAAATACGACGACAAAAGCGAGAAAACAACAATAGCAACAATAGCAATGAAAACTTGACATAGCTGAATTTTAAATAAAACAACAATATCAGCAGCAACAATAACAACAATAAGAACGCAAATTTTTATTTAACGTTTATACTTTATCGCATTCAACCACGTCACACATACATATACGCACATCGAAACAAAATAGGAATAGTGGTGCAGGAACAAAAGCGCGAGCAACAATAGCAACAGCAGCAGCAGCAGCAGCAGTAGAGATACCCGAAACCGCAACGTGTTGCTATTGTCAATGCAAAAGCAATGCTTGTCGTTGTTGTATGTAATTTTTAGGGAAATTTTTGTTTCGCTGCGACATAAATTTGCAAAGAAAAATTAATTAAAGTTGGCAAACGCATAAAAGTCAACTTTTTCTTATACTTTTACTATTTTTCATTATAAATTAAACTAACGGAGTTTTACGGTAATCAGCGTTGCCACACAATGCAATTAAAAAGAATTTCAATTTTTTCCTTTGTTTTCTTTTGCTTGGTTTTTTTTTTTTTTTTTTTTTTTTTTGCTTTCTTCACTCTCTGGTACCCTAAAAGTAATAAAAGTAAACGCTTACAGCTTTGCATCCCATTTCTCATGGCTACGGGCACATATGGTATATGCGTACCGGTACATTTATACCGAAAATATTTGTTGGTAAAGGCGGCAACAACAAAATTGCCAACATTGCGTTTACTTGCAGCAATGCAACAAAAAAATGATTAAACTTAAATAAAAATTGTGAGTAATAATAGTAAAAGAAAAAATTTTCATTTTTTTCCCAATTTTCGGCAACGACATCTGCTACAATTGCCGTCATTAACATTGCGAGCCCAATGCAGGCTATTCGCTATTCGGTATGTTGTTCGCTTCGTGCACGTTGTTCACATTGTTCACATTGTAATGAATTTCCCTATCGCGCGATTCTTTTCCACGTGTAAGATTCTGAATTTATTTTTTGGGTCACAGATCTGGGAAAATGGGCTCGAGCCACTTTATAAAGATTTCAGTAAAAGCACACAAGCAATGTTTGATAAAAAGTAGTTAAAATTTTATATAAATATTTGTTTGGATCAAGCGTTGCAAAGATTTCGATATAATCGGGTTAGCCGACATCATAGTGATTCACTTTTTGTTGTTGTACGCATCGCTATCGACGAAGAGAAGCGTCACAAACGCACACTCTCTTCTTTGTACCGCTTAAACCTGCCGGAGCGAAGGGTGTTCATGATTTGTTACTAACTGTTTGCATTTTATATCCGAGGACGTTACAAAATACAATTTTAATCGACTCCATTGACGTTTTTTGCTTAAGTTTAAATCGTTAACGGTGAAGTTAAATTTAGTTTTAATTGAATGCTTTACATTATTCATTTTGGAAATTGTGTTTCGTTTATCAAAGATAGAAGTGCTGTATGCTACATTAAGATATGATGAAGTTTGTCGGGCAAGAAGAACGCTAAATAACTTATCTTCTTAGGGAATTTGAAATTTTCTGGCAAAGGGGGAGGTGACCAAATTAGATCTGGACTACTTTTGGAAGATTTATACCGCACCACAGGTAGATGAAAAAAGAAATTCCCAGAAAAATTCGAAGAAAAAATATCTTTTAAACGTCACATTGAGCTCTCCATGAACAAAGTTAGATCAGCGGCTGGCTTGATTAGTATTACTTACCTACAAGAAGGTTATACATGGGCTTGGTGGGATCAGCACTTGAATACGTTTCGCTCGTATGGTCTCCTTCCTCTAGTTGTTATATTTATACAGTTGGATCCCAACTGTCAGTGTTTGCATATGAGCTTAAGCAACAAATAAATAATTAAGTCATTTATGTTAATTATTATAATATAAAAAAAATTCGTAATTATTGTAGCATTTTAATATTTACAACAATTATTATGATATAATAGGAAAAATATTCAACTGTTGATATTAATTTGAACACAAAAAAAAAAAAAACACCAGCTTATGACATGTTTTTATTCGCGTCCAGGATTCCCGCCTGCATACCATCATTATATTTAATTTAATTGCAATAATTTAAGCGAGAATCAGTAAATTATATATTCCGCAATCACTTACAAAACGGATCCCGCGCAAACGAGACGAGTTTGTTTGTTAATATATAATAAGTTTATCAGTCGCCTTAAGCTGCTTTTTTGTCTTTTTTCCATAGAGTGATTATTAGCCTCAGAGTCCCGCCCTATATTATAAATTGTCTTCATTTACTGCCTTTACTTCCCGCATATATTCTCCTTTAAAGACTTTTACCACAAACATAAATATTGGATTAGTGTTAGTTATCCTTATTTATTCCCTTCTTGTTGTTGGTTGCGCGGCTTTCATAAATTTTAGGTTTTATTTACTTAAGCGATATTATTTATATGTACAATCATCGATCAAATCGATTTATTTAATTTTCTACATTGAAAAGTTGATCGTTTGTTTTTTTTTATCTTTTCTTCAAGGCAGAAAAAAAGTCGCCCTCAAAAAACTTTTCCATTCCCTAAATTTTCTTTTCTATTATATAAAAAAAAATTTTTTTTTTTTTTTTTAACTCTCAATAATTTAAACTCTTCTGTTTTTACAGCTAATCGAACCACATACCGTTGTTCTGGTTATTTAATCGGGTTCACTATCGCTTGGCCAGCACCATCATCGCAATATGTTCACTAACACTTTCAGTGAACTTTCAAAAACCGACAGGTACTTTCTCTCAACCTTTTTTATGTAGTTGTCATATCCTTCAAGTATGAATAGACTTTCCTTTGTGAGGTTAACATCTAGAAGGAAACAGATCAGATTTTTCAAATAGTTATCAGCATTTTACTGAGATTATACGGATAAAAAAAGTAAGTGAATAGGAAATGGTTTGGAAATATGAATGCCATAGGTTTGCTCATCCCTTTGAATGCTATAACATTCACGTCCGCGAACGTGTCAAACAATGAAGATTAAACTTTGGGATCCCGTTGGACTGCACTTCAAAAGATTAGTCCATCTAAAAAAGCTAAACGGTGTTCTTCACTTCTTCATTATGAATTTTCCTCATACAAATGCAAGCATGTCGCTTGTGTGAGTAGAACGCGCGCGTATAGTATTCTCTATTATTATGTTTATTGTATATTGTTTGCCTTCAAAAATGTGTTCGACATATGTGGTGGCATTATTATGCTTTCATAGTAAAAAACAATAAAACCATCAATTTATGCCAATATTGAAAAAACAATCAATAATTTGCTTATAGAGTG